GTAGGAGTATTCTGCATAGACGTGCTACACTATATATCTGTTCTTTTTTGAGTCCTAGAGGCAATTAGAGAAGACCACCTGGTTAGAAGAAGGGGAAGGTCCCCTGTACGGACCTACACACGTTTATCCCTGAGCTTGGCGTTAAGCTCAGGAGAATGTGAGTTTATTACTGTATTTGACACTTATTATCATTCATATCTACGGTGTTACACTATTGGAGTTCTTTTTGCTTGTTTTAGGTTTATTGTATAAAGTATTGGAATTGCTCTCATCGGGACGTTTTGTCAGCATACTAGGTTCAACCATACTGTATGTATGTATACAGTGCTACACCTATCTCCTTTTTTGTATCTCCTTTCGTATTGATGTAAGTAAGAAAGATTGCATCTAGGTGTTACAGCAGCTTTTTTAGAGTTTTGGACTAGAGAGTGTTTTATTCTGTTTTAGCGCCAGTATATAATTTGTATTTCCAAATAATAAAGTTGAGATCAAACAAACAATCTACTAACACAATGAACAAAAAAAAGTATTTCATAGCATACAGCGGATCTGTGGATCACAGTCTAACTTTCATTAAAGGAATGAGCAAGTAATTAAAATACTGAAAATGTTATGGACTGATGCAAGGGGTCATTGAAAATAACACTATACTCTTGGGAAATTATTAATGATTTAGTCTTGAACATATATGTACAGCTAAGTGTATGAACTGGTCTAATAAATGACAAAGCTTAATAGCATGTCTTCTTGGATGGTAACTACATTAAAGCTTTGAAAAGTTACATGAACATTTCATACAGGCTCCAGTTTAAACCTGATCTGTCATATGTTCATCTATTAAAATTCATCATATAAATCTGTATCAATGTATTTTGCTGTTTGCTTTTAAGCATGTGTGGTTTAAAAGTTATTATTGTTACTAAATGTGGGAACTATTTAAAATCTTTGACACTATTTTCTGGTGACACTAGCAGAATATTAATGGACTTTGTTTATTTAAAATGTTCTAGATGACAACAATATGATTGCCTGGAGTGACTAGTCATGATTGCTGACCCATCATCCATGTCCCCACCGTTGCCCCCCAATAACACCCCATGTACACCTTCTTAGTGGATAAGGGCAGCGGCCACAGCTTTATTACATTTTTTTACTTTTAACATTATCCAATTCTGTCAGCTGTTGAGCGGTTGCCCCCAACCGTTGTCCATGAGCCTAAACAGCCGGCACTTTGCCATCAGCTCCCGTGTGGGCTGTCATCTCCCCAAAGCGACTCTTCATCTTAACCTTTTTCTTTGCGCTGTCCAGGATACCACCAATCTGTGACAAAACAGAAAGAACAAAGCCAGACACAAGACAACCAAAGCGAACAGGGTGGGTGGGCGGGAAAGTCAGTATGCTCCTGTCCCTTGTCTCTGCTGACTTGTGAGTCTCCTCTCCCGGCCTGTTACCAAACTGACCATTTTGCAACATTGTATCACTTTATTATCCAGTCCCTTAGTCATGGGCAGCAGTCATGCTCCTCATTCCCAAGTTGTCCAGGGGGAAACAAAGAGAAGGAGGACTGTACATGAATAAATAACAAGTTACAGATGACATATATGTAGCGGTACTAACCTTACCCGGGGGCCGGCCGAGGTCCTCACTTCCCGCCGTGTGCAGCTCCCAAATGCAGGCAGGCACGGACCGCAAGATGTGGTCACGTGTTCAGCCTAGCTCTAAGAGCGTGCCGAGCGTCTCGGGCACGCTCTTAAAGGGGCAATGGGAGCCAAAAAATGAAATGTGCTCCCATTGGCCCCTGTCATCCCACATTCCCCAGACACTCACATTTTGGGGGCGTGGATATGACAGGGGCCAATCAAAGTAAAGTTTAGGGTATTTATACTTACCTCTCCCTTAACTCCCTGCCCTATCATGGTTTCTGTTTCAGTTCCCTTTAGCGCTTGTTGTGTTCAGTTGTGATTTTTCACACTTGACCTTGGCTTTGTATCTGACTCCGTTTATCTCTCTATCCCTGTTTTGTCTTGTTTGCCGGCTTACTCACTACTGTGTACCAGACCTTGGCTAGTTTTTGTTCTCGCTGTCTCTTTGTTCCCTTGACCTCGGCTTGTTCTTGACTCTGTCTAATCTCTGCTATACAGCGAGTTCGGCCATTCTAAGGTCCGGTAAGTCGTATCTGCTCTATCTGTCGACTGTTGAACTAAATCTTGTGTGTAGGGGTAAACTACCGTGACAATATATGTACCTAACTAGCAGCACTATAAAGTTTTACTTTAGACATAGAAAGGGTACATATAGAAAAACTTTATAAGTACAGGTTTTAAAATACATTGTCTTAAACTTATGTTTAGTAGAGTGAGATTCAAAAGTTAGAATCTTAACAGATGTGAGAAAGGCTGAACTTGATGGACACATGTCTCTTTTTAGCCTAAGTAACTTTGTAACTATGTTTATGCAAAACAATGCTTTCTAAAATAAGACAAGCTTTCAATTTAATATATTGCTATTGCAACTTCTGCCATATTCTTATTCAGTTAATCTACTGGCACTAGTAAAAATTTGACTCAACTCTACATATACATGCAAACACTGAATGCAAACAGGTTATTTTTCAAATAGTGACAATTGCATTTTACAATTTATTTTATTAACACAATTAAGTAACATCTTATATCTGTGGTTACTGAGTGTTTAAAGTTTAATATCCTGAGTGTAGTGGGCTCCATATACATAACTTCCAAGAAAGCAATACCAAAACGATTTACGTCAGCCATCAATCATTTGCTTAAAAAACTATGTCAATCAGGGTCCTGTATATGACATTTATGGTTCTGAGTTTAGGTCTGCTTATGATGATATTTGATATTTCATAAAAATATGTTTTAAAATTAAATTCACAGTACTTTACTACTAAGGTTCCCAGAGATAAGTGGCCCTTTGGGACAAAGCGATTTCAGCACAATTTATTTTATGACATTTTTTTGTGAGTGCCTGTTTCATCCTTTGTTTTGTATTATGTTGTATTACATACTACACTATAAGAGTTTTTGGGTTTTTTTCCCTTTCTTTTTTTCCCCTCATATATGCATGATATGAGTGAATTATCTTTAAGGTAAACACTTTACAGGGAGTGCAGAATTATTAGGCAAGTTGTATTTTTGAGGATTAATTTTATTATTGAACAACAACCATGTTCTCAATGAACCCAAAAAACTCATTAATATAAAAGCTGAATATTTTTGGAAGTAGTTTTTAGTTTGTTTTTAGTTATAGCTATGTTAGTGGGATATCTGTGTGTGCAGGTGACTATTACTGTGCATAATTATTAGGCAACTTAACAAAAAACAAATATATACCATTTCAATTATTTATTATTACCAGTGAAACCAATATAACATCTCAACATTCACAAATATACATTTCTGACATTCAAAAACAAAACAAAAACAAATCAGTGACCAATATAGCCACCTTTCTTTGCAAGGACACTCAAAAGCCTGCCATCCATGGATTCTGTCAGTGTTTTGATCTGTTCACCATCAACATTGCGTGCAGCAGCAACCACAGCCTCCCAGACACTGTTCAGAGAGGTGTACTGTTTTCCGTCCTTGTAAATCTCACATTTGATGATGGATCACAGGTTCTCAATGGGGTTCAGATCAGGTGAACAAGGAGGCCATGTCATTAGATTTTCTTCTTTTATACCCTTTCTTGCCAGCCACGCTGTGGAGTACTTGGACGCGTGTGATGGAGCATTGTCCTGCATGAAAATCATGTTTTTTCTTGAAGGATACAGACTTCTTCCTGTACCACTGCTTGA